ACAGCTTTCACATCCTCTAAAAACTTTCAGACAAGAAGATTCCATAATTTCCTCTATGCTTGGCAGCACTACTGCAGAAACATTCTTTATTGCACCCTGTGGTTCAGACCTAACAATAAATGCCTTTTCTTCAGAATCCTTCTGGGTCATCTGTCCTTTCTGTTTAGCACTGGAAATAACAAGATCTGCCCTAAAATGTTCAGAGAGAGAGAGAGAGAGAGAGAGAGAGAGAGAGAGAGAGAGAGAGAGAGAGAGAGAGTGAGAGCGCGTAAGAGACAGAGCTAGAGAGTGAGTGAGCAGAAGTCTGAAATATAGTTATACCTAAGAAAGCATAAGGTCCACCTGAAGGGGCTACACTTACCCCTACCTGATAGCTGTTCTCTGCAAGAACCCTTCTGCTGTCTAGATGGTGAAAGGACATGGGAAACACACCCAAAGAAAGGTGGTGGAGCCTTGGCAATAACCTCCCCCGACAGTTTAAAATATTTATTTATTTTTGACAAAAATGTATATATTTAAGGTATGCAATGATGTTTTGATATATCTATAAACTGTGATCACCACAAACTGATTAACATCTTGATTACTTCCCATGGTTATTATTATTATTATTATTTTGTGGTGAGTACAATTGAGATCTACTCTCTTAGCAAATTATGAGCATATAACACACTATTAACCACAGTCACCATGTTGTACACTAGGCTTCTAGAACTTAATCATCTTCTAACTGAAAGTTGGTGTCCTTTCATCAATGTCTCCCCTTTTGCCCTACTCGCCACCCCCGGCCTCTGGTACCAACCACTGTACTCTATCTGTTACCTGAGTCTGACCTTTTTTAGATGCCACATACAAGTGAGATCATGCAATATTTGTCTTTCTATGTCTGGCTTTTCTTCACTTGGCATAATGTCCTCCAGGTTTACCCATGTTGCTGCAAACAGCAGGATTTCTTTCCTTTTAAAGATGGAATAATATTGCATTGCGTGCGTGCGTGCGTGCGTGTGTGTGTGTGTGTATACATTTTCTTTATCCAGTCATATCTTAATAGACATTTAGGTGGTTTGCACATCTTGGCTATTGTGAATAACACTGCAGTGAACACGGAGTACAGACATCTCTTCAAGATAATTATTTCTTTCTTTCAGATATATAACTAGAAGTTGGATTGCTGGGTTGCATGGTAGTTCTATTTTTAATTTTTTGAGGAACCTCCAAACCATTTTTCACAATGGCTGTATCAGTTTACATTCTTACCAACAGTGCACCCGGGATCCCTTTTCTCCACGTCCTTGCCAACACTTGTTATCTTTTGACTCTTTGATATTAGACCTTGGCAATAACCTCTTAACAGCTGCTCTTCCCTTGGTATTCTGGGAGCCAAGCAGCCCCACAGGAATGGGGCTGAATGGCAAACCCACGGCTGGCTCCATGTCTTCTAAGGAAGCACAACCCATTCCAGCCCTCCACACTCAACACACAAGAATGAACTTTGTGATTGTGATGCACTTCCAGCGTGAACAGCATCCAGCTCCAAATGGTTTTTGTGACTATAGCTAAGGAGGTGTTTGTTGAGCCAGCGTCAATACTAATGAGCAGTGGGATAATGGCCTTGCAATGCTTGGCACATCAACCACTTTCTCTTCATCTCTTAGCACAAAACACACTTACTAATTAGAAATTAAATTATCTGTGTTATTGAACAAAAGTACTATGTACACTCCCTTCTTTTCTGCTCTTGCCTTCTTGGCTGACACACACTCCTGGGTGTGTTTTTCAATGGGGGGCCAACACCCAAGTCATGTAACTTCTGGGGACTGCCACTCCATTTTAGGGGAAAAAAACAAAAAAGCAAGACAATTCAATTACATCTTGGCTTCGGGAAGAAGGTCTCTATTTTCGTGTCTCCCCCTTCCAGTTAAGAAGCCACACTGGCACTGGGCTCTAATTTGCTGATAACCGTGCTGCCCATCAATACTCAGGATTTTAGGGTGAAACCGTACAACTGGACAAGGCTGGAAGCCAGAGTGGCGTGGGGCCTGAACCGACCAAGCAGGGGAGCAGGAGTGGGGCAGTCTGCATCTGGAAGTCTCACAGTCCACCGAGGAGCTCTCGCGTTTGGCCATGCTGGCCCCTGAGAAACACAATGGCTGTCTGGCGGGGGAGTGCAGAGGTGGGCCGAGTGTGAACGAGACTGGGGCAGGGCCAGAAGCTGATTTAAATGCAGTGACAGAATTATGATGAGGTTCGAAGATTTCCAAGGGACTAATCAAATGCTTATTCTTACATCATATGAACCACATGCCAGTTAGTTCCAGGAAGCTACTTTCCAAGGTAGTGTTTGGGATTTTTTGTTTTTTTTACCACTTAATTCAAATTCTATGAAGTCATTCACTGAGCTAAGAGGGACAATGACCATAGAGCCTGCAAGGACATTTCAGTGTGTACACAGCGAGGAGAAGAAAACAATGCCCAGCACTTGGGGCCCCAGGAGGGCGCTCTGAGCAGGGAGGCAGGGCTCCTGGAGGGAGGCCTCAGAAACAACTGCAGACCCACAGAGGGAAACGCACCGGGGCTGGCTTGCATACCCCATCAACAAGTTACTTAAAGCTTTGATACTGACAATGGGAGTTCATATTTCATAGGAAGAAAAAAGTAGATACGTCTGGAGGTTTCAGGTACGTGAGCAACTGGAATGTTTCAATCGTTTGGAAATGTAGATGATGTCGGGACAGCAATCTATTTACACAGCTAGGAAGAAAGTAAATCAAACGTATCACGAGGTCCTACTTAACTGAACACAATCGGAAACATCAAATAGCAGATTTTCGGGTAATGATTCTACAGTGTGACTTTACAGAGAGCCCAAATGCCAAGGAAATCAGACACTGTGAAGGATCTGATCTAAAAAGCAACTTTTAGTTTAGGCTATATGCATTTACATTTCAGCTTCCTTTAAATTTTACTGCCTTGGCATTGAATTATTTATTATCATAAATAAATTCAAGGATGTCAGAATTTTAGGGTTTTTTACAGACACAAACAGGGGCTCACTGAGGTTAAATCAGGGTCCCAGAGGTAAGTGGGGGCAGGCCAGGGCTCTGGGCACGTGGTCCAGGGAGTCTTAAGATGGGGCCGCCAGTTATGGAAGAAAAACTAACTACACAAAATCTGATTTTGATCTGTAAATACATCTTAATATAATCTAATTTTTTGAAAATCAGGAGAAAACATAAATGACGTGGCTCTCAAAGAGATACAGATAATAAATTAACTGTTTCATACCTCTCCCTAAGAACATTTTGGATAATTAAAAGTTTTCCAAATATTTCCAGGAAATTCTAGAGTTGGAACAAATTCAAAAGACAGTCTTGTTCCCTATCTGGAGAGGGAGGAAGGGTCCTACAGTTGACAGATGTTTTCTACGGGATAGGGACAATGCTGAGAACTTCTATACTCATCATCGCACCTAATGATGGGTATTCACCCCCCGAGGCAGGTGAGGAAAATCCAGCTCCATTCACAGGGTCACACCACAGCTGCCATCCTTGGCCTTCCCACATTACTCGGTGCATAAACTTCCCTACCTACCCCGGCCCCAATTACACTACCTTCAGCAATGATTTGTCCTTTGGCTTCTAGTATAGGGATTGTTCTTGTTACCTACTTGTAAGTGCTGTGAGGAGCAGTAAGGAGCCTTTTATGTGGGTCCTCACTTTGTCATCTGGCCACTCTCCCATTCTGCAGCAGTCACAGCAGATATTGTTTAACAAGGGACTGGATCTGGTGACCCTCTCTGATAACCATGTTCTACTCATCCATTGACTTGCTTTTTATGTTGAATTTGGATGCCTTTCTGTGGAGCAGGTGCTTGCCCCACAAACTCCTCCTGTATTCTACATATTCCCTTTACTCATCTATATCATTTGCCACACCTCTGGAGACATTTGGCTTTGTAAACTTGGGATTTAATGCTAGTTGTACTCATAAGAACCTCACACCAGGGAGACGAGGGTCTTTGGTTTCTCCTAGGGTTTCTGCTCAGTGGATCACTGCACAACTCTGGGACAGACCATGGATGTGAGCTGTACTCCCGAGAGGTGAGCAGTGCACAGCCTACCCAGCTGGCAGTGGTGGCCCCAGTGTTGCACATTCTGCTGATGCACTGGAGATAATTCTGGCCCTGAACACAAAGTCCAAGGCTGCTCAGTGTTACCCTTAGTCCCATGAAAATGGAGGGGAGTCAGGATGATGGCAGAGAAATTGTGTACCCAGTTCAAAGGGTGACCCATTTGAAGTCTGTCATTGTGAAGCCCATTATGAAGCCCATTGTGAATTTCTGCAGCTCAAATCATCCAACTGAATATCATCTCTGGACAGATGGGTCCAGCCACCAGTGTCTTCAATGAACAGAAATGACTAGACTCACTAAAGTAATTAAGAAACCTGAGTAGGGTATTTTCAACAATGGTGAGAAGAGCCAAGTTTACACTTCTTAGAATCTACTATATTAACTGTGAAAATTACTGCTTGCTTTTACTTTTTCCCCAAGCAAGGTAGGTGCTGTGAATACTCTCATTCTTTAACTCTCAGGGGAAATCAAGTGCTCCTTCAATCATTTGAAACAGAAAAATCATAGCAACAGTCCCAGTGATTAAGATCCCACATGTAGGACTGTACCAAACTTTGGCTGAACTACTCAAAACCGGAAGAGTAAGTGAACTAGAAACTACAAGTGACTGTGAGCCACAGGTGGGGTTCAGTTCCCTTTGAAGGGAACCATCTTTCCCTTCAAGAAAGATGCTCTGTTCAGACTCACGTCTCCAAGACTTTACATGCATCAAATCGAAACTGGCTATGACACAAACATAATGTGTGGGTGACTTGGACACCAGCCCCTGAGTGGGGATGTGGCACAGGGTCCACTTTTGTATTCACCCAATTGTCTACAGGTCAATATGCCTCCCTTAGCAATACACAATCAAACCAAACTACTGTACCTCCTCAGGCAAGCTGACCACCAAGTCATTTTTCGTCTGTCCAACCAGCGCCTGCCAGAAGTATTCACTGCACGCAGCTAGCACAGCCCGGTGGGCCCGGAACTCCTTCCTCTCCACGATCAGAGTCACGTCACAGAGAATATCCTTTTTCCGCTGGTCATTGAGGCCCAGGAGGATGTTGGTGCAGTGGACTGTGGACTCATACACATACATGGGGGAGTCAGGCTTCTCATCCACAGACATGCCGTTCACACCCTGAAAGAAAGAGAGGCCCGGTCACCACTATCTGAGTCACAAGCGAAGGTGAGAAAGAACTTCAGGGTTCCTCAGTCTCACTGCCATGAGCTGGGCAGAAAGGGGCAGAATTGCTTATTAGCATATTCATGCTCAGTTCAGTGAGCTCAGGAAACATACTGAAAAGTCATGTATTATGGCTGACTGTATCCTTTCCATTCAGCGTGTCCTTTCATCCCATGGAAAAAAAGCCAGGCCTTTTAATGGAACACCCAATACATTTAAAACACATACTTTAAAACTTGGTAGTTTTGGTCTTGTTGGCTGACTGAAAATAAACTTTCACGCACACATAGTCCCAATTCAGGTATTAATTTGAGCTTTGTGTTAAGTGGAAACGAATCATTTATAAGTATTTGTAATGCTTTCTTGATTTAAATACATGTAAGCTGCTAAGTTGAAATTTGGCTAAGATACCACATATCTAATTGCATTACATAATTTAACAAGTGATCTAAACTGTCTGTGTACGAAAGAGTCAGTGTAGCCAGCTATTGCAACTGCCCTTGGCCACTTCAAGACCAAGTGCAACCAACACAATGCTACTGCTGCTCATGAAAAGCTGTTGAAAAGAAGTGGAATTGTTCTGTCATTATCCCAGCAGACTTGATGTATATCCACTTTAAGTGAACACAATATATCACAAGAGGAGTCATAAAACAGATGTATTCAATAGTGAAGATTGCCTTTACAAAAATGGTTCTTTGCTTTAAAAACTGTTCACTGACATAGTTAAAAAAACAGTATCTGTAATTAATTAGGTAACATAGTTTTTCAATAAAGTTTACTACTAGTACGAAATCCAACAGTTTTACTTTCTTATTTAATTTTTACAGCTTTCAGATACAGTGAACCACATACATTTATGGTGTGCAGTTGGATATATTTTGGCATATGTTTGCAACTGTGAAACCATGATCACAATCAAGACTGAACACATCCTTTATCAATGGAATTCTTTTTCTGCCCCTAATAGTCTTTCCCTTGCACCTCTCTGTGCCCCTTTCCCTGAAACCCCAGGTCTGCTCTGACACTGTATATTGGTTGTCATTTTATATATTTTATATAGATGGAGTCACAGATTATACGCTTTTATGTTTGGCTTCTTTTACTCAGCATAGCTATTTTGTGATTCATCCATGTTGTGTGCATCAACTGTGTGCTCTTTTATTGCTGAGCAGTGTCCTATTGCATGGACAGAGTGCAATTTTTCATCTGTTTATCTGTTGATGAATGATTGGGTGCTTCCAGTCTTTGGCTATTACAAATAAAGCCACAGATTATGGTATAAATCTTTGTATGACCATATCCTTTGATCCTTTTTGTGTAAATATCTAGGGAAAGAACAGAAGAATCATTTGCTATGTGTAAGTCTAACTTTTAAAGAAACTGCCCCTGTTTTCTAAAGTGGCTGTACCTTGTACCATTTCATATTTTTAGCAGCAATGTATGAGAGTTCCAGTTCTTTAATATCCTTGCCACCACTTGGTGTGGTCTGTCTTTCTAATTTTGGCCATTCTGACAGGCACACTGTTAGATCTTTTTGTGGTTTAGCTTGCTTTTCTCTAATAGAGTGAAAATGTTTAGCATCTTTTAGGTATGTATTCATCTACTTATTTTTTTGTGGAAAGATGTTTGTTCAGATTCTTTGCTTATTTTTTATATTTTGTTTTCTTACTACAGGCATGCCTCATTTTATTATGCTTCACTTTATTGCACTTTAAAGATATGTTTTTTAAAAAACCGAAGGCAAGAACCTCAAAAAATTATGACCTGTTTTATTGAGATACTTACTTTATTGTAGTGGCCTGAAACCAAGCCTGCACTATCTCTGACCTATGCCTGTGTTGAGTTTTGAGACCTCTTTATACATTCTGAATAGAAGTCCTTTATGAGATATGGGATTTCCAAATATTTTTTTCTAATTTTTTCATTTTATTTTTTAATTGCATTTTTTCCATTACCATTTAGTCCCCTTATACCTGCCCTCTGCAACCCCTGCCACTGTTGTCCATGTCCATGAGTCCTTTTCCTTTTTCCTCAACCCTTTCACCCGCTTGCCTCCTGTCTTAGCTGTCATCCTGCTCTCTATTTATGAATCTGTCTCTATTTAGTTTGTTAGTTCAGTTTGTTCATTCGATTCCACATATAAGTGAAATCATATGGTATCTGTCTTTCTCTGACTGGCTTATTTAACTTAGCATAATGTTCTCTAGGTCCATCCATACTATTGCAAAGGGTAAAATTTTTCTTTTTTTACGGCTGAGTAGTGTTCCATTGTGTAAATGTCCCATAGTTGTTTTATCCACTTATCTACTGATGGACACTTGGGCTGCTTCCATATCTTGGCAACTGTAAATAATGTTGCAATAAACATAGGAGTGCTTATATTGTTTTGAATTAGTATTTTGGGTTCCTTTGGATATATTCCCAGAAGTGGGATTGCTGGGTCAAGACGCTGATCCATTTTTAAATTTTTGTGGTATCTCCATAACTGCTTTCCACAGCGGCTGCACCAGTCCACATTTCCACTAACACTGCTTGGTTTCCCTTTCTCCACATCTTGCCAGCACTTGCTATTTGTTGACTTATTGATGAAAGCCATTCGGACAGGTGTGAGATGGTATCTCATTGTGGTTTTAATTTGCATTTCTATGATGATTAGTGACACTGAGAATCTTTCCATATGTCTATTGGCCTTATATATGTCCTCTGGAGAAGTGTCTACTCAGGTTTTTTGCCCATTTTTTAGTTGGGGTTTTTTTTGGTGTTGAGTTTTGTAAGCTCTTTATAAATTTAGCGTTTTAACACCTTATCAGATGTATTGGCAAATATGTTCTCCCATTCTGTGGGCTTTAAAAATTTTGTTGATGATTTCCTTTGTTGTGCAAAAACTTTTAGTTTGAGTAGTCCCATTGTTTATTTTTTCTTTTGCTTCCCTTGCCTGGGGAGATATATCTAGTAAAATATTGCTATGAGCAATGTCCAAGATTTTGCTGCTTATGTTTTCTTCTAGGATTTTTATGGTTTCAGGTCTAACATTTAAGTCTTTAATCCACTTTGAATTTATTCTTGTGTGTGATCTAAGAAGGTGGTCTAGTTTCAATTTTCTGCAATCATCTGTTCAATTTTCCCAGCACCATTTAGTGAATAGACTATCTTCAGCTCATTGTATGTGCTTGCTTCCTCTGTCGAATATTTAATTGACTATAAAAGTGTGGGTTTATTTCTGGGCTCTCTATTCTGTTTCATTGATCTATGTGTCTGTTTTTATGTCAGTACCATACTGTTTTGATTACTATGGCCTTACAGTATAGTTTGATATTAGGTAGCATGACTCCACCAACTTTGTTTTTCTTTCTCAGGATTGCTGTTGCTATGCAGAGCCTTTTGTGGTTTCATATAAATTTTTGAGTATTATTCTAGTTCTGTGAACTATGTCATCAGACTCTCGATAGGAATTGCATAGGCGGCTTTGGGTAGTATGAGCATTTTAATGATGTTAATTCTTCCTATCTATGAAAATGGTATGTGCTTCTACTTATTTGTATCTTCTTCATTTTCTTTCTTCAGTGTCTTATAATTTTCCAAGTAAAGTCTTTTACATCCTTGGTTAAATTTATTCCCAGATACTTTATTCTTTTTGAAGAAATTATAATTGGGATTATTTTTTTCATTTCCCTTACTGTTAGTTTGTTATTGGCATATAAAAATGCAACTGATTTCTGGATATTAATTTTGTATCCTGCTACTTTGCTGAATTCATCGATCAGTTCTAACAGTTTCTTGGTGTAATCTTTGGGGTTCTCTATGTACAGTACCATGTCATCTGCAAATAAAGACAGTTTTACTTCCTCCCTTCCAATTTGATGCCTTTTATTTCTTCTTCTTCTCTGACTTCTGTGGCTAGGACTTCCATTACTATGTTGAATAAGAAAGGTGAAAGTGGGCATCCCTGTCTTGTTCCTGATCTTAAGAGGAATGCTTGTAGTTTTTGCTCATTGAGTATGATGCTGGCAGTGGGTTTGTCATTTATGGCTTTTATTATGTTTTGGTTATTTTCCCTGTACTCCCGCTTTGCTGAGAGTTTTTATCATAAAAGGGTGCAGGATGATTTTTTTTAATGCTTTTTCTGCATGTACTGATATGATCATGTGACTTTTATCCTTCATTTTGTTTATGTGATGAATCACATTTATTGATTTGTGAATGTTGCACCAACCTTGCATTCCTGGAATAAATCCCACTTGATCATGATGTATGATCTTTTTGATACATTGCTGTATTTGGTTTGCTAATATTCCAAATCTTTTCTAAACTGTGCCTTGTCTTTTCATTCTCTTAATGGTGTTTTTCAAACAGAGGAAGTTTTCATTTGATGAAGTCTAAAATTCAGTAATTTTTTTCTTTTATAAATCATACTTTTGGTGTTGTATCTAAAAATATCTTTGCCTAAACCAAGCTTAAATATTTTGTCAGACTTATATCTACATATTAACATTTAATGCAATTATAAATGGTTTAGCTTTTAGATTTAAATTTCTGATTTTTATTTCTAGTATACAGAAATATAAATGATTTTTGTATATTGATCTTGTATCCTGCAGCGTTGCCTAACTTGCTTATTAGTTCTCATGGCCTTTTTGCTTTGGTAGATTCCATAGATTTTCTTTTTTTTTAAGATTTTATTTATTTATTTTTAGAGAGGGAAGGGAGAGAAAAAGAGAGAGAGAGAGAGAGAGAAACATCAATGTGTGGTTGCTGGGGGCCATGGCCTGCAACCCAGGCATGTGCCCTGACTGGGAATCGAACCTGTGATGCAGATTTTCTATGTAGATGGTTATGCTGTCTGTAAATGAAGATATTGTACTTCCTTTCTAATCTGGATTATTTCAAGGTCTTTTTTTTTTTTCTTTAATGCATTGGCTAGATGCATCAGTACTGCATTGTACCTGTAGTAC